GCTTCCATCCCCGTTAAGGGTAGCGCAGAGCCCCTCGCCCTTCCGGCGGAACAGACTGGAGTGGCAGGTCTTTGGTTTGGTTTTGATCGTCTATGACCTCTTTTGGCTTCCCATGCAGGCGAAACCGGGCGTCGCGTCGACGTCGTGACGTCGTGGCGGTGACTGAAACGAGTGGGAAGACGTGGTGGGAAGCGAGTCGAGTGTGGCGTGGCTTCCAAAAGCGCCAGTCTTGTTGGCGGCAACTTGTAAAGGGATGAACTTTGCAGTGAGAGATCTTCTTCAAAGATTTTAAGACTAACCTACCACCAATGGGTGTCCAAAGTCCGATGGAGACCCATATAAGCAAGGGGCTGGGTGGTCCGGCCTGGTGGCCCTGATTTCGAAAGCAGCTGGAAGGTGGTGTTTGGTGGGATTGGTGGAGAGTTGGATTCATTCAGTGGATTCGACCTGCCAAAGAATTGGGGTCTCAAAGACCAACTCATTCCCGGTGAGTTCCTGGCACTATGCAGGCGTATATATGGAATATCTGCCTAAAGTGACCCCGTTTCAACCACTCCTACATATATAAATATTAGCCATACATGGAGTGTTTATTTGGATGTATAATCTAAGTTTCAACCGTTTTTACTCGAACAGTGGTCGTTCGATCGGGCATTGATGCTTTGGGCGGAGAATCTCGTCTTGGAGACAGTCCAGCCAACACCGTTCCCAGACACGAGGAGTCTGGCACCATATGACAACATGACATGTATTGATTGACTCCTTTTCAATCACCCCAATTGGAGGTAATATAGGGAACACCCCCACGAAACAAGAACAGGTCGATGTCCGGCATCGGGGGGCAGACAAACGCCGCGTGCGGCGCGGCGTGCGCGCCGCGTGCGGCGCGGCGTGCGCGCCAATTGCGCGGGCCGCTGGGCCGTCCCTTCCACCAATGGGAAAAGGTGTCGTTTGGGTCCTTGCACCCCCTGCTTTTTGGTGGTGTAGGTGGAGAAGATCCAACCCCTGCGTTTCGGCAGGAGCCAGGGCCCATCAGGGCCATAAGGATTCTTAGGGTAATTAGGTTAAGATCTTAGCAAATTTGCCAAAGATCGAATTACAGTAAGAAGTCTGAGTGTTGACCCCCCATCCTGTGAGCATCCCCTACAGGTCCAGTCGGACCCGAGTCCAAACGTGGTCCTTGACCTGATACAGTGGTGTTTCTGTATGATCAAGTCTACTACAGTATAAGAATCCGCACCCTCAAAGACATATATATACGGTTTGGATGGATTTGGTTCGGGTCCGGACCCCTGCGTTTTCGGTGGTCCGACCTTTCTGCGGAGAGCCCGGACTCGGATTCTTAGGGTAAACTGACCTCATGGGTGAGTGAGTGGATCTTGTGGTGCCTCAACACCGGCGGCGACCAACGGGGGGCCTCTCTCGCGGAGTACCGGGCGCCAGGTCTTTGATCCACCGGGGAGTACCTTCACGGAGGTCATGGGCTGGATGTCCAGTGGCCTGGCAGCGGATGGGGTGCGGACGGAGGGGGCTTTGTTCGGATGGGACGACAGCGGAGGGGAGGACGGAGGGTGATTTGTCCACGATGGGACACCGATGGAACGGTTTCGGCCGACAGGGTGGGTGGCTCTCTTTGATGAGCCTTGAAGCCGAAGGCCGAGAAGACCATGAAAGGAGTTCGGTGGACTTGGGTTTGTCATGAAACATCCTGATTAAAGCTACGGTTGTTCGCGATTGGGTGTGTCATGAATCAATGGCGGGCGAAAGAAGGTTGGCATATTGTTTGGGCTTGTCAAAAGTGGGACACACAGATGATCGGTCTATGTGGGTACAAGTAAGGTGAAGAGGAACATGGGGATGGACTTCTTGGATGACGGGTTTCTGTGTGATACTCCTTTGGAGTGAGCCAGGGTGTGGCATCCAACATGAGGTCCTCGTAGTTCTATTTTTGTACCATCCCTTCAACAAAACGTGAAAGTGGACCATCCCCTGCGTGTAGAAGATGTCATACTCTTTCCCATTGTCCACTTCCCCTGCTTGTTTCAGCGAGGGTATATGAGGGTATCACTTAAAATCAGGGTTTGTGATCTCTTGCAAATGCATGTGCCTTGGTTCATGGAAGACTTGAAACAAACCCTGATTGCTTTACCGTGTACTCCCCGTCTTGCTTTACCCCTTCCGGCGGTTGACTCCACGTAGAAGAGTGCAACGGTTTTTTAGCGGACACTCTCCATCGGTTAAATGCATATGGCTTGAGTGGCACACCCGGGTGCAGCCAAACTGACCATGACCTTGGTCTTGCTTACCAGCACCCGAAACCTGCCAGACACACCACGTCTGCAAAAGTCACCAGAGGAGACCTGTAGAGGCGAGTGCTGGTAGGGTGATTCTAAGTGATTCTTATTCAATGGGTGAATCCCCAACCCTATATATAGTTTAGGGAATAGGTTTATAACCTGGTTTTGCTTAAGGCATCTTAATTGAGGCAATTTTTTGTGTATATATTTTTCCCCGGTTCCTAAATCCAAGTTAATGTTTTCACTGGTAGCACAAATCCAAGCGAAACAGCGGTCTGGCTGAACGACATGAGTGCACCCCAACGCGAAGCCTGGAGCGCATGGGAATAGCTCAATCATGCCTTTGGAACCCCAACCGTCCATGGGATGAGCAAGTCTCCCGTTTGGGCTCCGGGCCTACCTCCATTTCGAAGATGGGACAGGGGTGGGTGCCAGGGGGGGGTCTAAGCACCGAACCTGAGGACGTGGGACAGGAGCCCTAGGGTCTATACATACACACCATGACGTCACTCCCCTTCTGACCGCCTTCCGTTCGATGAGTTTGACACATGGGAACGACCTGCATTTTTAAGCGTGTAATATCCTGAGTAAAACAGCTGGTTGCTCGGTAGAGACTCAGACATACTCAGACTATTAAAATCCGTCTCGAAAATTAGCATTGGTTGGTGGTTGGAAGGTGGGAAGGTTGGAAATGGCTCACTTCTTGTTTTTCAGGGGGTGGGGTGCACCGCTTGTTTTCAGGTGTCTACTGGGCGGTGGACATTCCCATGAGCCTCCTCGTGGGACACCTCTCGTACCTTGGCGAAAGAAATGTACCTCGAAAGACGAGACCGCGAAATGGATGGAACGAGCGGCCGCTCGCGGCCACTCGTGCTGTCCGGCCATACGAATCGGCGATACATCGGTCAGGCGCGGCATCATTGAGATGAAGGTCCGGGTGATCGCACGCTTGTACCTTCGAGGCGGTGGGAGTGCTGGGACGGTGGGCTTTTGCGGGGCCGGGCTGAGCCGCTGAGCCCGGGCTCAGCTTGGGCGCGAGAGAGTTACCGCGCTTTGGGTTGCACCCGGGGGGGGTGGTGAGATAGGTGGCCTTTTGTGGCGTTTTCTTTGGGGCGAAGAGTTTTCATGGAAGCATGCAGCATGCAGCAGATTTAAAGGTGGAAGGTGTTTGTGAGAAGGTGGAAGGTGTTCTTCAATGACTGCTGCATATTCTCGTGAGGCATTCTTTTTGGATGGGAAAGCACCTTTTCCCCAGACGGACTGCCTTTTCCTTTTTTTTCGGCCACACCAAAGAGCTGACCTCTGAACCCCATCAACACCCGGCGCCAGGATGGTTCTGGTTCGACCTCACGGTGGTCTCAGTGGATTGGGTCTTGAACATCATGGAGGTGGCCGCTCGGAGGTACAAGTCAGACAAGCGCTGGAGCACGCTGGAGCATCCGGGAGCATCCTGGACCTGGGTGACCCTGGGTGCCCCCCTGGGTGCCCTGTCTGGAGACCTAAGTGTACTACACCAGCACTCTCCTGGCCAGGCTATTAGTTGAGGGTTGTTGGACCTGTAGAGTCTGGTCCTGGTATATATATATATATAGTAGGATCTAGTACGGTTTTCCATTGGTGACCCGTTGGAAGCAGCTGGTACCTTGGAATTGGGCATCGTTGCCTCAATCCAGGCGAGTGCCACACCTGGCTGTGTGTGGAATCGGTGCCTTCTTTTGAAAAGAGCATGACAGGATGGGTTTCTCAGGAGGGCGGCCGAGGTGAATGGGTGAAGATGGTGATCATGAGATGGCATCGTACCGGTCGTGCCATGTGGTGGGCCATCTCCAGTGACCCTTTTACTCCTAACTTAGACCGCCCTTCATTTTTGTCCCAGTACTGCCAAAAGACATTTGAAAGCATTGTTGTTCAAGAAGGAAGACCTACTATATATATATATAATCCAGGCAACCATCAATCAAATGGAAAAACATCACATTGTAGATCCTAATCCCGGTGCAGGAGCTTTTGGAACTGGCAGGGACCCTTGAATTAAAACATCGCAGCCAAGGTCAACAACACCAAGAACGTGGGAGGCGCCCGCGTCCACGGTGGGGTCTTTGTGTAGCCTTCCAAAGCCACCCAACACAACAGGTACAGTTTCAGAGGTTCCATGGCACAAGTTACCCCAAGGCCTGTGGTTTAGTAGTGGACCCCCAGTAGATAGCGGATGGGGATTCCCACCAACCATAGCCAGTGGCAAGAGTTTTGTGGCGGACACTTCCAAAAGACTGTAGTGGAAGACGCGCTTAGCAAGTTGCGGGTGCTTAAGAATTTGCACACCATGTGATCCAGAAGAGTAGCCGGGCTAGAGCTGAAGTCAAGTTCAGATCAAGCGATTTATAGCACTCCAGCGCTCGCAATGAACCTGTGAGTAGAATCCACTGTGCGCATCAACATCATCAACTCCCCCAACTCACTGTGGAACCCGCTATGAAGCTCCAAACTTGCCATACACGGGATCTGCCAGCTGCGCAGTCAAGTGTTGGCCTTTTCATCTAAAGAACCAGCCAAAAGGATCCCAATTTAGGCATCCAAGGTCTTGGAAGATCATGTGGCAGGAAGATCATGGAAGCTCCAGGTCTCGTGTTTTCCCCTCACACCCAAACATACCCAAACACCCAAGCACATACCCTACACCCAGAGATGCACATATACCCACACATGTTGCCCCTCACACCCAAACATATACCCAACCGTCCCTCATCCCACGGGATCCCATTGGGCGCAGGCATCAGCGCCTTACGCTTGGGCAAGGGCGTCCGAGTGCTGCGCGTCTTCCGGCTGATCCGCGTTCTCAAGGGCGGCGGCATCCTACAGGATCGCCCGACGGGCGGGCGGCGGCGCTCGGCGTTTCATGGCTGATGTAGAAGGTCCCTTCCCGGCCCGCGGCGTTGGCGTTCAGCCGAACGAAAGTGGTGGAGCGAACCCTCCAAACATCTCCCAAACCTGGGACTTGAGGGTCACCGTCTCCAATGTATGACGGCGGCGGACCCTTTCCAGTCCTTGTCGCAGTCTCTCTCACATGTCTCATGGCGTGCTGTTGAGCGAGCGACAACAAGCAAGACAGCGCGGCGCCGGCGGGCACCTCACGTCCCGTCTCCTTGGGTAGGAGCTGTTGGATACGATCCATTCGGAGCACTGCATCATCATCGTGGCCTGGCACACAGCAAACCTCTTTTCGGGACGGTTGTCCTCCACGCCAGACGCGAAGGCACCAGACCCTCCGTGAGTTCAGTAGGGGCCGGATCCCCGGTTTTCCTCGGGTCCTTCGGGGTGTTTGGACCCGAACCACTCCTCGACAGGGGGTCTTTGAGGGGCCCGGGGTCAGGCTGGGAACCAACGGCGTCCGGGGCGGTACACCTCGTCCGGACCAACGGCCCCCACCGTTGCCTGATGGGTCCAAGGCGCAGACGGGCCTATAGCTAGATGAGGGCCGTGGGATCTTCAAAAGCGAATGGATCGGTTGATGATTTCAAAGCACGAAACTGGCTGGAATAGGAACTGCCATGTGCGAGTTCATTATCCCTTAAGTAGGTGGAAAGATCGGAGCACCAACCGAAGACGATGTGTTTTTGTTTTTGGATCTTTTGAGCTTCAGGATTCCCTTAGATTCCCATGCCCTGCTATTCAATCTTCCTTCTGAGAAATGGCAAACCCGGAATTCCATCTGACTTCGATCCTTTGGTCTCAGCACCATCGCATCAGCATGCATCAGCACATCGCATGGAAGACATTCTCTTTCTTTTCCAATTGAGATTTTCGTGGGGTGGGTTCCACCAGATTCTACCACATTCCCACTAAGTCATCTCACCAGACATCGCCACCGTGCACATCTGAGCAGCACCGTGCACATCTGAGCACATCCGAGCACGGAGCATCTTTCCCAACAAAGGTGGGCATTGTGAAGCTCTTGGCTTTGATCCTTTGTGTCGCTCAGACCAGAAGTGCGGGTGCTGCGGCGTGGTTCTGTTGGTCTGACCATGTGCATCGTGTTTTAGTGGGTTCTTGATGTTCGGCAGTGAAATCACTGCTTTGGTGGTTCTTTTCGACCTGACATGAATAGTTGGGGGGGATCTTACGCTCTTCGTCTCACAACTCCGACCCCTCAGGGTCCAATCGGCCGACAAAGCAGGTCGGCTGGTGGCTGCTGGGGATGTAGACGAAGATGGACCTGGAAAACCCCCAGCGGGTGGTCGATGAGAATCGTCTCACCAGTGTTGCTTTTTTCATGTTTTTTCAGGGTCCATTTGGGTGGTCCTCTGTAGTAGTAGGTACTGTAGGTAGGTAGGTAGGTAGGTAGGTAGGTGTAGTAGTAGTGGTAGTAGAAGTAGTAGTAGTAGTAGTTGTTGTTGTTGTAGTTGTAGTTGTAGTTGTAGTAGTAGTAGTAGTAGTAGTAGTAGTAGTAGTAGTAGTAGTAGTAGTAGTAGTAGTAGTAGTAGTAGTAGTAGTAGTAGTAATTGTTGTTGTTGTTGTTGTTCTCGTTCTCGTTCTCGTTCTCGTTCTCGTTGTTGTTGTTGATGTTGTTGTTGTTGTCGTCGTCGTCGTCGTCGTCGTTGTTGTTGTGTTTATTCTTTTTTTCTTCCACTTCGGTGTTGGTCAAGCCACTGACGGTGTGCTTCACCACTGAGCATGAGGATGGCGGTGGTTTCCCAGTGTCGCGGAAAGCCTTGAAGGAGCAATCGTTCAGTCCAACTGGGCAAAATCTGCCCAAGTGACGCATAGTCTGGTAAGGTGGCGGTGTCATGTTGATTACTATTCTGGTTCATCCTGGTTAGGGGTCCTACAAGCCACGCATTCATGTCATATCCAAGCTTGACATCTCAGGCCATCAGAACAGGAATCGATTACATAGCAACTCAGGGTGCAGAATTGTACAGGTATTCAATTATTGTGTGAAGCTACTGCAGTTCTCCTTCACCACTTGCTTTTTGGCTCTTCTCCTCTCGGGCATCAGAGGGTGCTTCCTCTGCCAAAGTGCAGCTTCCAACCCCCAGGTTGATGGTTCTTCGATTGGGGGCACGGTTCAAGAGGACGACTTCTGCCAGTCCAAGAGGCCATCCCATGGTACGACACAAACCCCCAACAATCTGCATGGGACTGGAAGATATTGACCATACAAGTACCATCCTGTCTGCATCATCTCCAAGTAGTGGGCTGGGGGTAGTCCCGCCAGGACACCCAGATGATCGGAAGGTCCTGGTACGATCCTTTCCAGCATCTGAAGAAGGTCCTGGACCTTCGCCCTCCACGTTTTCTCGGACAATCCTCCAGTACAACCCCCACGATGTCTCAGACAGATGGGGGTCCATCTATATACACCACCGACATTGGGGATTGTGCCATCTAATACTCTGAAGGCGGATGATTGTGACCTGACAGGAGTTGATTAGCGTCCTGCCCTACTACCCCAGACACGACTAATGGGACTGGCAGGTTTTCCTACCTTGACTCCCTGACACTACCCCAACTGATCGGTAAATATGCCAGTTACTCATGGGTCGTGTCTGGGTACATTGTGCCCAGCATTTGGGATCCGAACTTCTTTGCCTCCGGCCCCTCTCAAGGTGCTGGCCCTGCAGCCCAGTGGCTTGGGACTTCCCCCACGAACTGAGGTGAACCACATCATCGCCTGCCTTTGGTTCTGGGTGGGAAGCTCCGAACACGCGGTGAACTGGATCTCCGAAGCGGCCGCTAAGACAGCTGCAGCGTCGAACTCGGTGGATGGATTAGGGGGATTGGATGGATCGTGAATCCGGTCGCTTGCTACATCCAGACACGTCATGTGTGGCTATATATGTATATATATAATATATATATATGTTTTTTGTATATCAAGTATATACATATACTTACACATATTGAGGTGGTTGAAACGGGGTCAATGTAGGTAAATATTCCATACATCGACGAGTGTTTGGGACACATTAGGCACCAGCACTCAATTGAAAAGGTCTCCGACATGGTGGCTTTTGGAGACTTCAAAGTGGCAGGTGGTGACCTGGCAGTGGGGTGCTGGTATAAATATGTTTGGGTGAGCATATTGACAATATGAGGTTTCGATTTGTGTGCATTGTGGGGTGTCAAGGCTACAAGTAGGAGGAGGCAAGAGGCATTAAGCAACACTTGTCACAGAGTAGACCTGCGTGTCAAACTGCCAATTAGATGGCCTTGGAGGGTCTCGACCCCCAAAGAAGGATCGAAGCGGAGCTCAAGTATACATTCTCAAGGGAGCTGTGACGAACACCCCCAAATGGATGGTTGAGTGGGAATGGGGATCACAATGCAGCAAAGCGAGTGCGCGCTCCAGTATAAGAGATGTTATACCAAGTTTTGCCCGTGGCTCAAGGACCTTCTTGAGCCTTTGCCAGTCTTTGGAGCTCAGTGCGCAAGTAAAGTATTGTTCTGCAACCCCCTTCAACCTTTGGAACATGAAAGCAACACAAACGCAACTTCGAGCAAATTGACCCAGAAATGAATCAAGGTCTGTCAGAGGGATAGCCAGTTTTTCATCGAACAGGATACACTCCCTGGCACTAAAATGGAAGTGGATGACATCGCCCCGAAAGGAAGACCATGAAATCCGAATACCAGGACACAGGGTTTTCGATCCTCGAAACCATGCGAGGTCGTTTGGGTGAGTAGGGCCCCTAGGGCTTTGTTTCTTCTTGAGTCACTGCATAAGGAGATTCTTCCAAGAACGATTGCTTACAAGTGCCTTGGCACAGATTTCTTTCAGCGACGGAGGACGGAGAGACTTCCGTTGATGCTGGGGCTCATTTAGAGCAGTAGCAAGCATGGGGTATGGCTCGTTTGAGCTCTAGACAGAAGGGAAACTATACTGATCTTCTGGGACATTCTGGGCAAAACCACGGCACTAGCATGGCGCTGAACTCAGATCTGTTCACACGTGAAGGTGGGGGCTTTTGTTGGGAGCCAGTGGGTGCGATTGGGTTCGAAGACTAGAAACCAGAGGGTGCCAGTGTTGGGTCCGAACTCAGTGGCTAGCTCGAGGATCTGCAGAGATGTGGCATGCTTAGATTGTTACCTTGAGCTGAAGGAGGCCCCGTGTTTCCGTTCACCAGCACTTCCTCCTGGGTGTTTTTTTTCCTGCAGGCTGTTGGGTGTCCATTTGGAACAACCTCAGCATGTGTGTGGAGCAGCGTAGAGCTCGGTTGCCACACTGAAAGACCGTGAATCACGGTTTTCTCCTCTCGTCCCGATCTGGTTCCTCTCCGACCTCTCTGAGCCTCCTGAAGCCTTCCTCCTCCTCATCACGACCATGAACCATCATCATTTACACCCAAACAAAGAGCATAGAAGAGATCATGGGAAAACAGAAGAACCGGAAACCATATATGGTCCCGTTTCAGGTATGCGACATGCCTTCACTGGAGCTTGACGCAGTTTACGCCTGCCTCGATGGAAGTCTATCCCACTAATGCCCCTCGGAGCGGCTTCAGTTGGGAGGGTCATACCAAGAACTCAGCCCATGATGTTCATTAGACCTCAGGAGTGTGTTCTTGGTATGGTGTTTAGAGTCAGAAAGGGATGGTGTTGAGATATGTTTAATTCGTCCCCCCAAAGAGAGGATGTGATGTGGAATAGAAGACGCTCGCTGCGCTCGCTCCATGGATCGCACCACGAACTGTTGGAGATGATTTGTGTGTTGGGAATCCACTCAACACCCTCACAGAATCTATAATAGATAGTGTCCTGGAGAGAGTGTCTAGAATCTATCTATATAGCATCTATTGTTGTTTTGTGATTTCTGTGTCCTGGAGGTTAGACATCCCTACAAATGCATACCAGTCTTGCTGTTCTAGCCAGGCCCATGGGAGGTCGACGTGTATGTTGAAGTGCTTGAGGGTCAGTTATCCTGGGGAGGTTAAGGAGCCTTTGGCTCATGAGGAGCTGCGTCAGTGTAAAGCAGATCAGGTGTTGTCCTGCTGGACAACTCACATCAAACCGACCTGTCTTCCGCCTTCTGTCTCCATCAAATTTCTGCTTGTACCATATACGACTGTTTGCTGGCCATGGGCAGTTTTTTAGCTTTTCTTCTAGAACTTCCGAACTGTACCATCTATGGCCCCCCCCCTTCGCCCGGACACTTCCCGGGCCGGGGCAATCTTGCGTGGATGATGCGTGGGGAAGGATCACTCGTTAGACCCAAAAAGGGGTTCCCTTCTAATCACCCCATCATAGCCTTCCAAGACCATTTAAGAGCTGGTTCACCTGACTTTGTTCAGTGGAAACATGCAAAAGCCTTAATAGGAAAATTCAAGGTTCTTCGGGATTCAATCTAAATCAATGGTGGGCCTTCGGAAGCCCTTCGGAAGCCGGACCCGAATGGGGAAGCCTCCACGGCTCCATCTTCTCCCCATCTCTGAGGAGGAGGAACGTACCTTCACGGTGTGTGTCATCGTCTCGGCCATGGTGCCTCGGGTTTGGCGGCAGAACATCGCTTCACGGATGTTCCGAGGACGCCGCCTGATGTCATCAGATCCATGTAAATTCTGGGATAAAGCATGATGACACTCTCTTGAATTTGGGAATTGGGATAAAGTGCATTTGTTCCCGAAAGCATTGCGAAGGGGTCTTCCGGAAAATCCCTTGAACACTGACACTTCGACACTTACACTTACACACTGACACTTCCACACTTGCACTACAACATGAACGCTATACGTACCCCAGTGTAAGTGGAAGAGCGAAAGCATCCAAGTGCAAAGTATGCAAGTGTCAAAGTATGCAAGTGTAAGTATGCAAGTGTAATGATGCAAGTGCAATGATGAGTATGCAAGCATGCAATGAGTATGCAAGCATGCAATGAGTATGCAAGCATGCAATGAGTAGGCAAGTGTGAGCATGGAAAACTATAGCACGGGAGATGTCCTAATGAAAAACATTTCCCCACTTTATAAATTCTCTCTTAAAGGCGGAGGGTGGGACGAACAGCGTCAACCGAAAATGCAACCCTCTGCGGAGATCGTGCGTGTCGAGTGCGCGAAATGCAGGCGAGAGCGCGATTTGTCCTGTGCCCGCGCAACCCTCTGCGGAGATCGTGCGTGTCGAGTGCGCGAAATGCAGGCGAGAGTGCGATTTGTCCGGTGCGCGCGCAACCATCTGCGGAGATTGTGCGTGTCGAGTGCGCGAAACGCAGGCGAGAGTGCGATTTGCCGGCTGCCCGCGCAACCCTCTGCGGAGATCGTGCGCGAAATGCAGGCGAGAGTGCGATTGAGTCTGTGCGCGCGCAACCCTCTGCGGAGATCGTGCGTGTCGAGTGCGCGAGATGCAGGAGAGAGTGCGATTGGGTCTGTGCGCGCGCAACCCTCTGCGGAGATCGGGCGTGTCGAGCGCGCGAAATGCAGGCGAGAGGTGTACTTTGTAGTATAACTTTAGTACCTTTAGTACGCGGAGTATCTGGGGAGCTGGAAGGTGAGAACTGGCGACTTTGTAGTACAACTTTCGTACGCGGAGTATCTGGGGAGCTGGAAGCTGAGAACTGGCGACTTTGTAGTGCAACTTTAGTACGCGGAGTATCTGGCGAGCTGGAAGATGAGAACTGGTGACTTTAACTGTGTAGTACAACTTTAGTACGCGGATTAGCTGGGGAGCTGGAAGATGAGAACTGGCGACTTTGTAGTGCAACTTGAGTACGCGGAGTATCTGGGGAGCTGGAAGATGAGAACTGGCGACTTTGTAGTGCAACTTTAGTACGCGGAGTAGCTGGGGAGCTGGAAGCTGACAACTGGCGACTTTCTAGTACAACTTTAGTACGCGGAGCAATCTGTGGAGCTGGAAGCTGAGAACTGGCGACGTTGTAGTGCAACTTTAGTACGCGGAGTATCTGGGGAGCTGGAAGGTAGTACAACTTGAGTACGCTGAGTATCTGGGGAGCTGGAAGATGAGAACTGGCGACTTGGTAGTACAACTTGAGTACGCGGAGTATCTGGGGAGCTGGAAGATGAGAACTGGCGACGTGGCAGGACAACTTTAGGATGCGGGGCGATCTGTGGAGCAGGTGACTAGCGAGAGGTCAAGAACTTGCAGAAAACAGGTGTTCCTGCTCTTCAGAAAGACATACAAAGAGAGACGCGTACACACACAGACATAGATACACTCTGACATTGGTTTTCAGTTAACTCAGTTCCCAGGTCAAAAAT